ACAGTTTTGTATCTTTGAGAGCATTCACTTTGAGCCTTGAGATAGATTCCCTGGCTAGTGGGTTTTTGATAGACAGATGTGGCGTATGTGTTGTTGTTGGCGTCGATATGTACATCTAGAAAATTGATGGTTTTGTCAGTGGCTATTTCGTGGGTAAATTTAAGCACGGAGTTGTCCTGTAGGTTTTGTTGGAGCTTCATTAATTCATCAGTGTCCTTGGTAACGATGAAGCAGTCGTCGACGTATCTGCAGTACAGTGCGGGATGGTGGACACATCTAAAAATTGGCGAAGGCTACTCCGAGAGGAGAGCCCATGGCAACTCCGTCGACTTGCTGGTATAGCGAACCATTGATATGTTGAAAAGGTGACTTCGTAGTACAGGCGAGTAGAAGTTCACGCATTATTTCTTCAGGTATTTTGGGTGGAGACATGGTTGGGTGTCTGTAAACGTTGTCACAGATTATGTCTATCGTATCCTGGACTGGTACATTGGTAAATAATGATATATATATATATATATACATATATATATTATTTGTACCTAGCTGATGTACATGATTATAACCAATAGAAACAAGAGATTTTTCTCTACATAAATCTTATTACAGTTGTCTGTTTTTGACAGGCAGTAGGGTGGTCCTTAATTGCAGGTAAAAATTTCAGGTTAAAAAATCTAAAGCTCTCACCCCCTAATTTTGTTACAATTTACAAAAATCATTAAATGTTAAACTTATCATATTTAGAGGTTACCTAATGAGGTTGAAATTCTAGACTGCAATAGACTGGTACTATATGTATTATATGATATAAAAACATATTTGTTATTTATTATGAATGATTTATTTAAAGTATATTATTATTTTATTGCATGTACAATAATATAATTATATGCTTTTGGTTGGTTAGTCACTTTTGCATTGTTATTGTTTCCTTTTTGCTGTTAGAGAAGCATTTTCTATGACCCTGGACAACTTGAAAGAGGAATAGTTTTGTTCTTTCTTTGTTATGATGGCATTATACTCCTCAATAAGGACCACATCCCTTTCAGCATTGCCATTTGCCACATTCATGTGTTGAACTGTATGAAGTAACTCCCTGTACTCCTCTGATAATCCAGAAATCCAGATGGAATTTTGAGACATCTTAAAACGTCTTTTGTGTTCTTTGTGATGAAATCTTCAATTTACATGTCTTCAAACTTTCTGATATTCAATTATATGCACTTTGAAGGTCTATCCATGCCTTCTTTCTTATTTAATGCCTTTACCATTGCTTGTTTTGTCTTTTTGGATACAGCTGAATCAAAGAATATCAAACCAATAATTCTTCATTGAGATACCATAGATATACAGCAAATTTCTGACAAGCAAATCTTGAGAGAGCAGAATTTACTTTCTTATACTTAACAATATATTGTAGGAAGGTAAGATGATTGTAAGGAGCAGAAATGGCATCAAGAGCAGAGAACCATACCCTAAGATACACTTGAACAACAAACATACAGATTCTGATACAGTATGTTACCTCATCTCATACATATATAGCTATTCTCGTTCAGTGCCATCACAGGCTGATAGGTGGCTGATCTATAAGCAACATTTTATTCATATGCCACAAGCCTTGAAACTCCCAACTACCCCACAATCATGTGGTTCACAGTGTCTTTGCATGTAAATTGTCATGTGACAACCCTCCACCAATAAAAATGCAACACAGCCTCCTGACACATGTGACTCCTCCCATTCAATTCTGCCTAACTATTATTTCTTATTAGACAGTTATCGAGCGTGTGCAGACTTGTGTTATTTTTCCTGCAATATTTTCTTTAACTTTGTGAAGTAGTCCTTTAATGTTTTTTGTTCAGTTCTACAGTAAGTTTACAAGTCTATTTAATTTCATTTTAGACTTCCGAAGCTCATATCACAACTTTCACATACTATTACTAATGCTTCATCAGCTGAATTTTTTTCTTCTCTTTTTATGTTTATTTTATCGATTCACCTGTGACTTGGTAAGTTATTTAATTTTTGTGTTTATTGCTTTTCTTCCAGGGGAATGTCCCTTTTAGGTCAGGTCTAGGTTCTCACTCCATGGCAATTATTGCATGTTCAGGTATACTACATACATAACCAAATT